CCGCTCTCTCCTCGGTCACTCTCCAGCCCGGGGGGACGGCGGGGAACAGCGGCTGGTGCTCGGGGCTCTCTTGGTCCATGTCGCTCTCAAATGCCATTCTGTCCTCGCTGTGGATCCGCTCCCACGTCATGACTGTATCCTTTGAAAATGTCCCCTCCATGGAGCAGCGCAGGGTCACCTCCTGGCCCAGCAGGCACCGCTCCGGCCCCTCCACCTCTGTGACATTGTAGGAGACCGCCCAGCCTGGGGGCCAAGCACATGAAACACAGGACATGGGTCAGCCTGGGATCATCTGGGAGATGTGACCAGTCTGAGGCCTCCACACCCCGCCCTGCCCCAGTCTCTCTGCTGCATTAAGGTCGCCCTCCCCCACTGACCTGTTCCCTCCCTGTGTGACCCTGCAGCCCAACAACATCTTCCCGCTCTACCTTTTTTTCTGTTCCTACAGCAGTAAATGCCTAGAGCTACTGCAGCTCCTGCTCCAGTCAGGATCCCCAGGACTCCCAGGGCTGCTTTGACCATGATGGAAGTCCGGTACTCTTCTGTGCTCGGAAGAGGGAGGAGAGAACAAGGCAGAGCTCAGCTCACAGCATTGCTCTGAAGTGATCAGGGTCTTGCCCGAGACCCCCAAGACCACCGAGCCATCCCTCACCTGGAATCCCCTCCACCCTCCAGCTGCAGGGGCAGTGCACAGGTAGGGCCCCATCTGCCCTGCAGTTACCTCTGTCGCATGGCTGGGCATCCTCTCTGTCCCAGCTGCTGCCCGCGCAGTCGTGGGCCAGGATTTGCTCTGGGATGCTGAGGATCCCTGCACCCGGCCATGCACCAGAACACAGGGGCCTGGACGCAGTAGCCCACGAGACCCCTCCAGGCCTGCACCCCTCTGCTCCTTGGTGCTCCAGCTCTTCCCAGAGGGAAGAAGTGTTCCCACTGGCTAAAGCAGCCCCAGACCATAAAGCAGGCCCAGAGGTTATTATGGGCCTGGGCACAGGGTGCAGGGGCTGCCCCTCATGGGTTCTCCATGACTTTTAGATTCATTGTAAGGGGTAGGTGTTGTTCTCAGGTGAAGGCTAGTTTGTGACTGTTCTGTTGAAAGTGGGGCGAACTGGTCACGAGGAGAGTGAGAAAGGCTCTGAGGGAGCTGCAGAGCAGGGTCCTGCTTTGGGTCGGCTACCTGCGGGTGCTCGCATGTGACCTGCAAAGTTGGTCTGGTTCAGGTCAGAAAAACATAATTTCAAATTAGGCTCAGGTCAGATCCTGGGGATCCCTGCAGCCAGCCACGCACTGGGAATGCAGAGGTCAGGGTGCAGCAACCCGGGCGGTCCCTCCAGGCCTGTGTGCCTCTGCTCCTTGGTGCTCCAGCTCCTCTGGGAGGGAAGAAGTGTTCCCACAGGCTAATGCATCCCCAGACCATGATGCTCTGCAGTCAGTGATGCCTGCAGGCTCTGTACTACCTTGGGGGAGGGTGCAAGGGAACTGCCTCTGTGTCCAGGGTGAGGGCAGCAGGCAGGTCCCTGTGCAGCCTCTCACCTAGGATGTGCAGGGAGACGTCCTTCTGCAGTGGGTGCCCCAGAGCCGCATGGTGGACACGGCATGAGAAGTTGCTGCCGGCATCGCTGGGGGAGGGGGTGAAGGTGTAGGTCAGGGTGAGGTTGAAGGTCCCGTCTGGGTTGCTGTGGGGGCTGGAGCGGGTGGAGCCGTTCAGGACCTGCCCGTCTCTCAGCCACGCCACGTCCACATCCTTGGGGAAGAACCCCCACACGTGGCACAGGAGGGAGGTCTCGACATGGGCTATGGCTGATTCTTTAGGGATGGAGATCTTCGGGTCAGCTGCAAAGTAGAGAGTCACTGAGCACGTTTGGACTTAGGATTTAAGACTTGGGACATGTGCCATCCCCCACCCTGGGTCTGTGTGCCACTGAGGCCACATGGGGCCTGGGCCCTGTCTCAGCCCAGATGCTCAACTGACAGACCCCACAGGCAAGCGTCACCATAGCTGTGTGGGTCTCAGGGCCGGGGAGAAGTCAGCACTGCCCAAGTGTTTGGCAGCTGGAGATTCTGCCTCCCCAAGCTGGCAGTGAATTGCACAGGTCTATTTCTAGGCACAATCAGAGCCTGTGGGCTTCCCCTTCCACTGGGGCATGGGGGAGTGCAGGTGCCAGACTCAAGCCTCCACCTTGCTTGGAAGAGGGAGGAGAGAACAAGGCAGAGTTCAGCTCACAGCATGGCTCTGAAGTGAGCAGGGTCTTGCCCAAGACCCCCAAGACCACTGAGCCATCCCTCACCTGGAATCCCCTCCACCCTAAAACTGCAGGGGCAGTGCACAGGTAGGTCCTCATCTGCCCTGCAGCTACCTCTGGCACATGGCTGGGCATCCTGTCTGTCCCAGCTGCTGCCCTCGCAGTCGTGGGCCAGGATTTGCTCTGGGATACTGAGGATCCCTGCACCCGGCCATGCACCAGAACACAGGGGCCTGGAAGGCCCCTCCAGGCCTGCACCCCTCTGCTCCTGGGTGCGCCAGCTCCTCCCAGAGGGAAGAAATGTTCCCACTGGCTAAAGCAGCCCCAGACTATGCTGGTCTGCAGCTCAGTGCAACCTGCACACTAGCCTGGAGAAGCTCTGTGCTACCTTGGGGATGGGGAAAGGATCTACCCCCATGTCAGGAGTCAGGGCAGCAGGCAGGTCCTGGTGCAGGCCCTCACCTAGGATGACCAGGAGGACATCCTCCTGCAGCGTTTGCCCCAGAGCCACATGGTGGGTACGAAAAGAGAAGACACTGCTGGCGTCACTGCGGGAGGGGGTGAAGGGGTAGTTCAGGGTGAGGTTGAAGGTCCTGTCCGTGTTGCTCTGGGGGCTGGAGCGGCTGGAGCCCTCCTGGACCGGCCTGTCTCTCAGTCACACCACATCCACGTCCTTGGGGAAGAACCCCCCGACGTGGCACAGGAGGGAGCTCTTAGTATCGGCTACGCCTGATTCTTTTGGGATGGAGATCTTTGGGTCAGCTGCAAAGTAGGGAGTCACTGAGCACATTTGGACTTAGGATTTAAGACTTGGGACATGTGCCATCCCCCACCCTGGATTTGGCTACCACTGAGGCCCTGAGGCCATGTGGGGTCTGGGCTCTGTCTCAGCCCAGATGCTCAACTGACAGACCCCACAGGCAAGCGTCACCATGGCCGTGTGGGTCTCAGGGCCTGGGAGAAGTCAGCACTGCCCGTGTCTGGCAGCAGGAGATTCTGCCTCCCCAAGCTGGCAGTGAATGCCAGGGTATCTGCCCACTGTATAAGGCTTCCCACTGCTCCTGGGGAGAGACCGTTGGCCCTGCCTGTGGCTGGGCTTGGACATGGCTACAGCAAGCAGTCCATCCGGCTCTGCAGAGCATTGCTTATTCACCACCTCAGTTGCATGTGGCACAGGTCTGTATTCTTGTGTGCCTCACCCACGCATTGCTTATTCACCACCTCAGTTGCATGTGGCGCAGGTCTGTGTTCTTGTGTGCCTCACCCACCCATGGCCAGCCCCAGCACAGCCCCGCCATGCTGTGGGCCCATCTCTGGTCCTCACCGAGCAGGTGCAGGGTGGTTTCTCCCTCATGCTTCTGCGTCCCGTACCCCACAACACACCGGTACAAGCCCCCATCGGGCACGGTCAGTGTGACAAGTGACAGGGAGGCATCTTCTCTCTGCAGCTCTTTCTCCAGCAGCAGGCTGGCTCTGGGCTGGGCCTGGCTCTTGCCATGTTTGTACCAGGACAGCTTGTGGTCCCAGAAATACCACATCACCAGCAGGGAGTCCAAGGCCACCGGCCCCCCAACATCAAACCGGCACTGCAGCAGGGCCCCCGAGCCCGGGCGGGCGGTGGAGGAGGGCGCCGTGGTCACCTGCAGCTGGGAACCTGCCCAGGGGAGAGGGAGCAGCCGTGAGACCCCGTAGGGCTGGCCTGGCGCAGGGGAGAGGCTGCCCAGGATGGCACAGCCCGCTGCAGAGATCTGGTGCAGGGAGATGTGGGGCTGAAGGGGCAGAGGCCTGCTGCGCTCGGGGTGACGGGACTTCACCCCCACACACTGAACTGCCCCCTCTCCCTCACCCACACACTCCTCCCACCGGGTTTGGCCAGGCGCACCAAG